TTTTTGACCCGTTGTCGTCTTAACCGCCTCTTTCACCGAACCATACGTTCCGGAGCCTATTTTAAATGGACACGAGAGGTGAAGGACATTAAAAAAAGAGAAGAAAATATTAAAAAGTCGCGAATTTATCAAAACATACCTAGAACTTTACCAATTTTGTAATATTTCTTTGAAAAATAATAATAATTGTTTTAAAATTTACATTCTCAAAGGTAACAAAGTTAAGTCACGCATTTATTCCAATTCGAACCTTTTTTTCGTGGGTATCTGGCTGTGGTTCTCTATGAAGAGCTTGCTCAAGAAAATCAGTAATTCCCATTGTCGAGTTTCGTCTTTTAGCTCAGCAAAAACGAACAAGCATTTATATTTATTGCTATTCTTAACACTATATATGGGTTAAGTGTAACCCATTATAATGAACTAGCCTGTAACCTGTTATCCATATAAATTAGATAAATTAGCTCTAGCTATAGTAACAAACGGGTTTGACATCTCCGTCAATCAGTCTATCATTTCAAAAGACAAAAACGGATTGATTATTGATATAAATAGCGTTTTTTTGATGGTATGAGCTTTATTGCCACTTTTAGATGCGTTTTCTAACTTTAGCTTATTGATATTATTCTAAAATTAAAAAATTAATCAAATCATATATTTAATAACTTTATTTTTATTAATATGCAATAAGATTATTTGATTTTTTAAAAACAAATAATTATTTTTTTTACTCTACTCGAAATAATTGGGCTGTATAAAGATAAGACTTTTGATTTTTTTTTTAACAATTATAAAGTTAAAAGAATTATATTATAAGAAGATTATATTAAAAAAAGTTTTTAATTTAATTACAAAAATATATAACTTTATTATATTAATTAAAACTCATTTAATAAATTTTGGCAAAGATTAAATATTTTAATTTAAAGCTATTTCAATCTGATATTTAAAAAAGAATTTATTTGAAGCTATAAATAATAACAAATAAATATATTGTTTTTAAAAAATTTTAAAACAAAAAATATTTAAATATTCAAATATTCTACATTATGTTTAAGAAATAGTTAATCTTTTTATATTAAATAGTCAAAACAGAATTACTAATTTAAAATATTAACATATATATATTCTTTTTTAAAATATATATATTATATTATTAAATATATTAAAAAACAAATATTATTATTTAACTTAAATAAATTATTTATAAAAGAAAAATAAACTCTTATTTAAAAATTACAGAATTACTAAAAAAAAATTTTTAATCAACTTTTTAAAATAAAACAGAAAAATAAAAAAATATATTTAAAGAAATATCAAAATAAATTAAAAAAAAAGATAATTTATAATTTAATATATTAAGACTTTTAGTTTCTTTTTTAATAAACTTTAAAATTATTGATAAAAAGAATTTTTAATTCTTAATAATTTAATTTATTTAATATATATTTTGTTTTAAATACTAATAAATAATTTAATATAAATAAAAAACTTTTTTTTCATATGAAAATCACACACAAATTCAGTTAGGCTGCATGAAGATGGGACCTCTGGTCTTCCCGACAATCGCGGGCTGAAAACAGGTCGAAGCACGGAAGGTTGCACGAGGAAAGGTTTCTGATCTAACTCCGGTAAAAGCTCATAAACTCTACCCCAACTGAAGACAGCAGACTCCGTCACACGGTTCGAAAAAAGAGGTTAATCCTAAGCCGATCTATCCCAATATGGAGCTTGTTGGTCTATCCCAATTGTGGTGTTCCACGGAACTTAATCATATGACTGAAGGGCAAGGTATCAGCCACAGGTGGTGAGAATCTAAGCAAAAATCGTTAAGCCAAGTGCGTTTAGTGAGGGCCAACAGGATTAAATCGGAATCCAAGCAAGGACGCCAGTTCCACAGGTGGTGAAAACGGTAGTGCTGCGCTATGCTAGTGGCACATCTCGAGGATCGGTGATAACAGGTGACTGATATGACTGGGGTTAATCTCTATAATAACATATCATAAATGCGCTCACCCACGACGGATGCAGTCGAGACAGGACCTAGTAGGTCAGGTGGTTTTAAAACTAGTGGTAGGATTTCCACCCCCTATGTAAGTCCCACCTGGCATGTGAATCATCTACTTGATGTTTAAAATTTTGTATAGCTGGGTATGTTGGAGTTGTCTATTGGTAAGCACGCTAAGCTAGAAATAGATTAGATGATGTAATGTTAACCCCTATCAATAGGTGGAGTGGGACATTTGATGTACTGACTCAGTTAATAATTATATTAATAAAAATGTCGCGCATCTAACGCCGGTTTACAACTTAAAAAAAAAAAAAAAAAAGAATAAAAAAAGAATTTTTTGACAAAGAGAAAAGAAAAAAAAAGCTATTGTCTATTCTAACTATCATTGAAAAGATTATCTCAGTGAACTTAGAACCCAAGCCCCTTATGGATTCCCACTTTTTACCATCTGTAGCCAGTTAAATTGTTTAATTTTCAATGAAGTAGTTGCTATTCAAGAACGTTTAAGGGTACTTTCAGGAAAGTATTTCTTGAAACTTTACACTTGAAGACTTCTAACCAGAAAGGATGTTAGTTTTCTATTGTTTATTTCTCTTTTAAGCCATGTCATCTGGAATTATAGCTTCACTCAACCAGTGGATAGTTTCAAGATCCCTTTCTCCAACCATTTTCAAAATAGATATCAATACTTTAACTTGTTACTAGATTGGGATAGGACCTAGATCTTGTTGCTACTTCCTGTTCTCAAGAAAGAATAGCAAAAAAAAAAAGAAAATAAAAAGATAAGGACAAAAAGAGATTGCTTCTCTTTTTCTTACAACTTTAACTTGAAACTGTCCAACTTTTTCAAAAACTAATTATATCATCGATTTGGTGTTGTGCGACTGGAAACACGTGAAGAGTACATGTCTTGTTTACTTTTTCTGTAGCTGATGTAATTATTTAATCTGTGACCTTAATCAATTATCTTTCAGAAAATCTGATGTGATCAAAAAATTCAGGGTCAAACTGATATAGACAAAATTTCCCAGAAAAAATCAGAAAAAAGAAATAGAAAGCCAAAGAGATGATGGAAAGACTGGAAACTTCTTTATTCTTGTTTCTCTAGATTCTTGAATCTTTTAAGAATCTTTGAAAAGTATTTTTTCTTGTCAGTTTTCTTCCTATTGTTGACGTTTCTCCCGGCAAGTCTGTCGCTAATGGCAATAGAAACTCGCATAACGTCAGGTAGGTTTTTGGCTTTCTCTACTTGAGGCATGTGATTTTGTTCAGCCGAGTTCTTTACTAATTACCTTTACTTCTCTTTCCGTTGTCCGCACTTCCTTGACGAGTCTCACCACTTTCTCTCTTGTGGTCCTGGTCGTCCTATCTCGCGACAAGTACTGGATTAGGTAAGTAATTTATATTTTCACTCTCTTTGGCAATGTTGATCGCACATCCCTAATTATGAATATTATTTTATTCTCTTTTTTTTTTTGGTATTGATCTTATTTTTCGTACTGATCTTATTTTTTGTTTGTATCGCGTACTACCTCTCTGTTCTTCTATTTATATTGACATGTCGTGTTATGCAATCCCTTCTTATACTATTAGAAACTATTGACTGATAATTAGACTATCTGACTAATAATGGCAATAACTACATTAGACTTTTCCCTAAATTATATCATGCTTAAGTAGGCTATACTAAACTATCAATTACCATATCAACTATCCAAAATCAGGGTACGCGACACACCAGGTCGCGTTGTGTGACCATACCCCATACCATTTTTCTGCTAACACTATAAAGATGTTCTTGCTGTAAACCTTTTAGGTGAGTTTCTTGTATTTAGTTGCAGAAATAAACAAGAAAAGTGTTTTGAAAAAGAAAAATAAAACAAGTGGTAGCTTCTGCTTGCTCGGCTGGTAAAAACTGGTATTGTTTTTAAGGAAAGTGTATAGACTTTATTATCATAAAAACAAAAAATCTTTTGAGAATATGTGTTTTTTGGGTTGGCAAAAGGATCAACAGAAAGAGTTTTTGTATCTAATATTCTTTTATAAACAAAAAAAATTTATTTAATATATATTTTTTTAATTAGAAAATAAACTTTTAAATTTATTATAACTATTTATTCTATTCATTTTTAAAAATTATTAATTTACCATAAGCCAATCTCGCATATATGGCAAGTCATGGAATTGTCATGTGGAATTACAAACAAAATCTTCTCGACTACAGATCTTACGAACTGGATCAAGGCAGCAACAGAATCACTGTCCTTATTGCATGATCTAATTTGGAAACCACGTTACTCCACAGTCAATACCTCACCTCTCACTGGAATCAAGTGGGACCATAAAAAAAATATACATAATTCAGCCAACTCCGCTAATTCAA